GCGCGTCGCCCCGACTGCCATCAGCCCTATCACCGTAGTCGAGCCCCACCCGCAGTGCGTCGCGTACGTGTGCGGGCCGTCCTTCAAGTGCACGCCCGGGGGCTCCCAGCGGCACATGACGCCGTTGAACGGCGCCATCGCCGCCGCGGCCGCGCGCGCCACGACCTCCCGGACCGAGGGGCTCAGCGGCTGCCCTGGATGGGCGCGAGGCGGCACCACCCGCCTCGTGTCACGGTGGTCGTAGTCCTTAGGGGGCCACACGCGAACCCTACCCCTACCCACCACGATTTCGGAGGGGGAGGGTGGGGTTCACTTCGCTCGGGAGCTCCCGAACGAAGTGAACCCCACCCTCCCCTCCGAAATCGTGGTGGGTGGGGGTAGGGTTCGCGTGTGGCCCCCTTGGTCCTCGCAGAGCCAGGCCTCCTTGTGGTGCTCGTTGAACTGGGTGAAGCTGCCGTCTGGGTTGCGCACCTGCCGCCGAGGCTGGTCGTAGTCGATGGCGCCGGGCAAGCACGCCTGCTGCAGGCTGTAGACCTCCGCCTTCGTCATGAACCCGGGGACGATCAGCATCGACGTCTCCCACGGCAGCCGGACGACCAGGGGTGCCTCCCCCGGGGCAGGGAACTTGCGGCCCCTGTCCCACTCCTCCCAGCTCGTGGATCCGTCGGGGGCTGCCAGGGAGGCCCCGGCCTGAGAGGCGTCCCCAGGATTTTTGTTCCGAGGCCCGCGCGGTCTCCAGAGCGCCCCCTCTCACGAGGCCCAAGGGGGCCCCCAGGACCCCGAGGATGGAGCGAAAAGCCCACTGTTCTGTCGGGCATGTCCTCCTACAGGCGGACGTTGGGCGAAACCAGAAAATTGGGCGAACAAATATCCAATAGTAGCCCAACCATGGCCGGCGAATCGTCCCCAGACGACTTGTGAAACATCTCTGAATGCCCCTCCTGTAAGAGGGGGATGCCCGACTCAAGCCTACGGGCGCCCTTGGCGGCTCCCGACTCGGTGGCGCCCGCACACCCTGCTCTGCCACGTGCCCGACAGGCCCATCTCCCGCTCCAGGCGCTCCGCCACGGCGGCCGCGTGCGAAGCCCAGCCGCGGCTCCTCGCATAGACCTCGGCATGCCTGGAGGAAGGCGAGCTATGCACATCCACCGATTGTGGCCAGGCCCATCCTGAGCCCAGGATCTGTGCGCATATGCCCTCTTGCCTTGGCCAGGCAGGTATATGCACCAATCCTGGGTCAAGGATGGACGTTGCCAGGACTCTGGTGCGCGGCTTCGGGCGGGGCCGCGGGGGGACCAAACTCGGGCGCGCAAGACGCTACCGTCGCATCGCAATCGGTGATCGGGGGACCCCATTGTGCCCGCACCACAGGTCACTCCGGCGAAAGGTCACTCTTACGTGAAGTCGATGCCTGTGGGCAAGGAGGCGGAGCGCGGGGGGCGCGTCCGCGGACGGCTGCAGGTGCACCACCGCCCAGCCGAGCTGCTCCTGGAAGCAGAGGCAACAACAGAGCACGGCTGCACAGGCAGGCACTCTCGATGGGCCCAGCGCCGATCTCGAAAGGTCCCGCGCGGCTTTCCCAAAACTCATGCTCTCTCTCTCTATATATATACACATACATACATGCATGCATACCTACCTACCTACCTACCTACCTACCTACCTGCCTACCTACCTACCTACCTACCTACCTACCTACATACATACATACACACACATACATACATACATACATACATACAGACAGACAGACAGACAGACAGACAGACAGACAGACAGACAGACAGACAGACAGACATATATATATATATATATATATATATATATGTAGATGTTGTCGGATGTGCCGTTGCTCACCGGACCTCTCCCCAGGTGCGGCTTGCCTACAACATCGAAACGAATCCAGCCGTGACAACGCGTGCCTCCCAAGTGGCCCCCCCAAAACGCCACAACGGAAATGCGGAGGAGACGGCATATGCAGAGGGGGGGAGGACGAGGAGGAGAAGGATGAGGAGGAGGAAGAGGAGGAGGATGAGGAGGAGGAGGATGAGAAGGAGGAGGAGGAGGAGGAGGAAGAGGAAGAGGAGGAGGAGGAGGAGGAGGAGGAGTAGGAGGAGGGGGGGAGGAGGACAAGTTAGGTGCGCTCGCGTCAACATCTGACATCCTACCCCTCCCTCCCATCCCTTACCATGGCGCTGATTTTCTCTATCCGCGGTCGCGTGTCGTAGCGGACCTGTGGCTCCGCGCGCGTGTGCGTAGTGGGTGGTGGTGCGCGTGCGTGCGTGCGTGTGTGCGTGGTTGTGGTTGTTGTGGTGGTGGTGTGTATGTGTGTGTGTGCGCGTGTGCGCGTGTGCGCGTGTGCTGTGGTGTGACGTGTTGTGGCGTCTTGGTGGTTTGGTGGTGGGCCAGGTGCGTACGTGCGTGATGGCGGTGGTGGTGGTGGTGGCGGTGGTGGTGTGTGTGTGTGTGTCTGTGTGCGTGCGTTTCTGTGTTGTGTGCGTTTTTGTGTGTGTGTGTGGGTGATTGTGTGGAATTTGTGTGTGGGTGCGTTTTTTTTTGTGTATGTGTGTGGTATGTGTGTGTGTGTCGTTGCGTGCGCTGTGCCGTGCGTGCAGTGCGTGCGGTTGCGTGCGTATGCGTGCATGCGTGTGTGTCTGTGTGTTGCGGCGCGTTGTGATGTGGTGTGACGCGGTGTAGGCGTATGGTTTGGTGGTGGGTGGGGTGTTCGGTGGTGGTGGCGGGGCGCGGTGGTGGTGCGCGTGTGGTGCGTGCTGTGGTTGGTGGGTGGATAGTGGCGGTGGGGGGTGGCGGTGGGTGTGCGTGCGGCGGAGCGGGGCGTGGTGCGGCGCGGTGGTGGCGGGCGGATGGGCGCGCGAGAAAGAGGCCCGCGCTGGGGCGAGAACGCCATCCTGAACGACGGAGGCAAAAACACCGATCCGAAAATGAGGCCCACGCTGCAGCGGGAGCACGATTCGGAACGATTCGGGAGCAGAAATGAGGCCGGCGCCTCAGCGAGAGCAGCATTTTGAAAAAAAACGCAGGCGAAAACCCAACTCCGGGGAATCGTGTGTGTAAAAAACAGTACGCGGGGGGGCGAATACGCAAAAGACGTCATCAGGGGAAGAGGGAGAGTAGTATTCATATTGAGTAATTGTGGAGGAATTGTGGAGGGAGGAGGGAGGAGGAGGTAGAGGAGGAGGAGGATGGAGGAGGTTGAGGAAGGAGGAGGAGACGAGAAGGAGGAGGAGGAGGAGAAGGAGGAGGAGGAGGGAGAGGAGGAGGAGGAGGAGCAGGAGGAGGAGGAGCAGGAGGAGGAGGAGCAGGAGGAGGAGGATTAGGATTCTATGGGATTCTATGGGCCAAAACGGATCGCGACGGCCTATGCTTTCGCGCCGTGGGAGATTCGGGCCGCTTCGGGCCGACCCTGAGCCGAGCCAAAACCTCCAGGGAGCCCCTAAAGTGGCTGGTTGGTGGTGCGGTGTAACCTGTTCCGCAGTCGATTCAGCCTACCCCCGCAGGTGGGTCGGGGGGGTTCGAATCCGTCGGACTCGATCCCAGCTCAGTGTCGAGGAGGATTAGGAGGAGCAGGAGGAGGAGGGGGAGGAGGAGAAGGAGGAGGAGGGGGAGGAGGAGAAGGAGGAGGAGGAGGAGGGGGAGGTGCCTTCGCCTCCTCTGCGCTCCTCCAGCCTCTGCGCGAGCCGCAGCCGAGGGCACTCCCTGGCCAAGGCCCGGACCCCCAGGAGGCAGACGGGGGGCTGCGACTCCAGGACGTCCCGCGCGACCGCCTCGGCCCAGGCCGCCTCGTCCCGCTCCTGGCCGACATACCTCAAGGGGCCCAGGGACACACTTTTTGTGTCGTCGGCGGCGGCTTTGCAGAGGGACTGCTCCAGCGATGCGGCATTACTGGGTCACACAAAACGCGAATTAACCCCAGGGACACACAAATACACACTCACGCACACACACACACACGAATCCCACAGTTTCCCATCTTTTCCTGGGGATCGACGATTCATTATGTCCATGGGTCCCTTTCCCTCCTGAATACCTGTACCCGATGCCCACGCCGCGCATCGTCGCCTCGAGCGCGTCGCTGTTGAACCACGGTCGCTTTGTGCTGTGGTCCAGCTCGCGCACGTCCAGCACGCTCATCAAGGGCAACGTTAGGGGGAGACCGACCCTGGGGGGCACATCGACCTGGAATCGGCGACACATCGCCGATAGATCGGCGACAGGCCCCCGACAGCACATCTGTCGGTGGTCCATGGGCGGTTGGTCGTCGATGCGTCCCCCCTCATTCTGGATCCTCTTCCCCCCCGAACAGTGGAGGCCAGTCCACAAGAAACCTTCCACAAGACATCCAACCCTGAGTAGGCGGCGAGCCAGGGGGGGAAGTGAGAAGGGGCGTGCCTTCTCGGAAGGCTCGGACGTCCCCCGGCCTTCTGAAAAGTTTTCTAAGCCTTCCCCGAAGACAGACAAACACTTCTCAGAAGGCCAGAGACCTTCTGAGAAGTCCCGCCGCCTTCTGAGAAGGCCTTCTCCTTCTCATTTCCCCCCCTCGCTCGCCGCCGACTGAGACCTCAGGACTCGGAGAAGAAAAACCGCCATAACAAAAACATACACTTGTAGGCGCCCTGCGCAGATTTCTGGGATCCGAGTTGCCTCCCCCCCCCACCCTCGGCGGCGCCTCTGGCGCCGCCCCTGGCGCGCTCCGCCCGCCAGGGAGGGGGCTCCAGCGCGGATCCAAGAAATCCGCGCGGAGCGCCAAAGTTTATGTTTCTGTCTTGTTGTTCTTCTTCGAAGGACGCTCATCGACTTTAGGTGTGGGAGCCTCACGCCTTCCGTCGCGAAACCATCGAAACCCAAGAAGCTCAGGGCACCCTGCGAGGCAGGCACGGTGCTGCTTGGCGTGGGCCTCCACTGCAACGCCGCCACTGAGCTCAGCACGCCTCGCTCCCGCAGCAGCCTGCACAGGAGCTCCGCGCCCAGGTGGCCGCAGCCGCACGTGAAGAGCTCGACGGCCGCCGCCGCCGCCGTCGGCGCCCTCCGCGCCCCCGCGCCGCCGCCTGCAGCGCCCGCCGCGCCTCGGGGATCTGCCGACCCGGGTCAGCCCAGACGGGGGTCAGTCGGGCCCTGCGTGTCGATGATCCTCAGAACGTGGTTCAGCGCCAGCGTGTGTTTCCCCCCTGAGGCCCTTCCCTACGACGGAGGCGATGTGATGATCGACTGGTTGGGTTGAACGGGATAGACACACATTGGGCTAACCTACGTCCTGAGGATCACCGAGGTGGGGGCCCAGCGCCGATCCAGAGGCTCCGCGTAGACCTGCTGACTCTCATGCTTATGCATCTGCTGTCGGAGGTGCCGCTCCTCCCGGGACCTCTCCCTGGGTGCAGCTTGCCCAGAAAATCGAATAGAATCCAGCCGTGGCAAAGAAGGCCTGCCAGGTGGGGATCATCGAACAAGAGGACACGTCCTGAGGATCATCGAACAGGACCCTGCAGGACCCTGCCGGGTATCCTGCGTTCGAGCCCAGGTCCACAAGCGACCCTGGCCCTGCATCGTCCTGCAAGCAGCCGGCGCTCTGGCTGACCCCCGTTTGCACTGGGCCCCCGTCGCTTGAGCCCCGAAGACTGGACAACATCCAGGAGCCGGCCAGGAGGAGGAGGAGGAGGAGGAGGAGGAGGAGGAGGAGGAGGAGGAGGAGGAGGAGTAGGCGAAAGAGGAGAAGAAGAGGATGGAGGAGGAGGAGGAGGCGTAGAAGGAGGGGATCAGGCGGAGGAGGAGGCAGCAGGAAAAGGGGAAGAAGACAGGAGGAGGAGGAGGTGGAGGAGGAGGAGGAGAAGATAAGGAGGGATGAGGAGAATGAGGACGGATGAGGAGGAGGGAGGAGGAGGAGGAGGAGGAGGAGGAGGAGGGAGGGAGGAGGAGGAGGAGGATGTGGGAGGAGAGGAGAAGGAGGAGAAGGACGAGGAGGAGGAAGGAGGAGGAGGAGGAGGAGGAGGAGGAGGAGGACGAGGAGGGGGAGGGGGGAGGGGGGGGTGGGGGAAGGAGGAGGAGGGGAGGAGAAGAAAGAGGAGAAGAACGAGGAGGAGGAGCAGAGGAGGAGCAGGAAAAGGGGGATAAAGAAGATGGATGGAGGAGGAGGAGGAGGAGGAGGAGGAGGAGGAGGAGAGGAGCGAGGAGGAGGAGGAGGAGGAGGAGGAAGAGAAGGAGAAGGAGGAGGAGGAGGAGGAGAAAAGAGAGGAGGAGGAGGAGGAGAAGAGGGAGGAGGAGGAGGAGGAGGAGGAGGAGGAGGAGGAGGAAGGAGAAGAAAAACGGGGAGGAGGAGGAGGAGGAGGAGAGGAGGAGGAGGAGGAGGAGGAGGAGGAGGAGGAGCGCGGAGGAAGGAGGAGGAGGCGAGGAGGAGGAGGAGGAGGAGGGTGGGGGAGGAGGAGTAGGGAGACGACGTAGGAGGAGGAGGAGGAGGAGCGTAGGAGGCATGGAGGAGGAGGAGAGGAGGAGGCAGCAGGAGGAGCAGGAGGAGGAGGACGAAGACACGTATGACGAACGAGAACTCTGCTCCGCGGAGCGGCGCCGCAGACCCTGAGTCCCGACATCTCAAAACATCTGAGAGAGCGTGATCCACCGCCGCTTTACTGTGGAAAATTGCCAACCTTTTCCTCCGGAACC